TTTTCGTAACAAAAAAATCGGTTAGCAGGAAACGCGTTAAAAAGAAAATTGTAGAATAAATTGAAATATAAATAAACATTAATTGTAATCTTTATTTAACTTACCGTTCACGAAATTTTTCCGACACCTGATTTGTAACAAGCAAATGTTCAGTTTTTTTTATTTAATATCATATATGATATTTCATAAAATTTTCTGCATTTTTATGTATAAGAATTTTCTTTCTGTAAATCTAAATGAGAACATAGTGAAATAAATCTCACGATAATACTTTGTTATTTTATCTTTCTTAATTTATATATTGAAATTTTTATTGTTTAAAAATTTTGTTAAAATAGGAAGACAGAATTTCGTATTTATCCATCTCACAAGTTGCCATCTGTTGTAGATTCCGTAATCACGAAATTTGAATAAGCTAGAACGGACTGGTACTTTGCTTGACTTCACGGAATATATCATTAAAGCATTAATCTTGCCAATTTTCTTCCATTAAAACCGTATTTTTTACGCTTTTCACTCTCGGGATCATCAAGATTTTTTTTCATACGATACGTTGAAGATTGATGAAAAATGCAAATATATGAAACGTGCTTGAAGCAACTATGCCACATACAAAGATTTACTATTTATTTTTTTACTTCATCACACAAAGTATAAAATTTTTCTGTACTAGAACGGACTGGTACTTTGCTTGACGTCACGGAATATATCATTAAAGCATTAATCTTGCCAATTTTCTTCCATTAAAACCGTATTTTTTACGCTTTTCACTCTCGGGATCATCAAGATTTTTTTTCATACGATACGTTGAAGATTGATGAAAAATGTAAATATATGAAACGTGCTTGAAGCAACTATGCCACATTCAAAGATTTACTATTTATTTTTTCACTTCATCACACAAAGTATAAAATTTTTCTGTATACATTCAAAAAATAATAAAAGAAATAATAAAAAATAATAAAGAAGAGATAATAAAAGAAAAATTGTTAATCAACAATTTTTATTTAACAAAATTTGCTTAAAATATATTTTCTGTCGCAAAAACCAACTCTTCCCTTAAAGTCAAATTGAAATAAATTATTGCCTGTAGCAGCATACAGATGGGCGCTATCAAATTGTATAGAATGTATTCCGGGCTCTTTATGCCAAATCTTATACCTCTAAAAATTTTTAAAATAGTTAATAATAGGTCACTATTAAAGTACAAGATACATAAAATTTGAAAGTGATACAAACTTGAATGTAAGCATTTTGTCTCTGATCCCATAGAAGAACTTTATTATTAATCGTCCCTGTCATAATAGTGTATAAATTATCTGTTGTAAAACATGTTAATATTTTATTTTGGGATGAACAATTCCATGTACGTACAAATTCGGATGTTCTGAAATCACAGTAGTGAATATAACTAATTGAATGGCCAATTAATATTAACAATATGATTTATTACCTTATATCCATTTTTTTAATATTATAATCATAACATATTAGAATAGTGTGAGGATCCTCCCATAGTAGTTGGAAAGCACCAGGTTTATAACAATAATTTGAACAATCTTCTGTTTTATCTATTACGGAATTCCTAAAATTCCTTTAGATTAGTGTTTGTTGCATATTATTTCAAATATACGACTACATATAAAAACCTAAAAGACTAAAGACATGAGACCAAACTCCTGTCCTTTGCTTCTTTGAGCTGCATAACATACTGAAATGAGTCTTTCCTATAAGAACTAATGTGTAATTTGTGATCAAAAGATTGCAACAGTGGACGGAGATATCTGTCTTTCTTTCACATTTACTACCAATATGGTGGAGGATATTAAAACCAAAACAGACATGAGACACATTTCTCCATCTAATAGCGTTTTCGAATGAACGAAATTTGATCGACCCAAGATTGATTAATGACGTCATTGCACCACCGTCTGCATCAATAAAAGACTTGAATTCATAGTAAAATAGTAATTAATCAAGCTTGAGTCGATCAAAATCCATTAAATCGTAAACATTATAATGTATCTCTCTTTTTTCCACAATGACCACCACGGCTCTTTTTGGCACACACCAGAAGCTGCGTTCCGAAATTCACTACCAATGTTGGAAATCTATAATTTACGTTACGTATATTGTAGATTTTTAATACTGGCAATGAATTTCGGAACGCAACCATAATGTTATATAGTTC